AGAGTTCGATCGGATCTTCAAGGGTAGTCGTGAAATCGGCTTCACCTCGAAGCTTGATATCCATTGCCTTCGTCACAAACTTCAGCATGATGCTTGATTTGACGGTTCTCTTGTTTGTCTTGAAGTATGCTGATCTTCGCATGTTCTCGTCAAGCTTTGCAGAATAGAGAATCCTGTTTTGGGCCATCTCTGTTTCTCTTGCAAGTTCTTTGATAAGAAGAGAGATTTGGAGACATTTCAAGATGGCGATCAAATTGCAGGAGTGGATGACACGGAACAAGGTTACTTAGAAGAAGCCTTTGATCAGGACTATGAACCTGAAGATGTGAATTCAATCTACATGGACAATTTGATGATATCGATGACTCCAAAAGAGAAGAGCTCTTGGCAGATGCAGACAATGATGTCGATGATCTGCCAGAACTCACTATCAGATTCCAAGGAGATGACGACTATGAATCAGACGACGATTTGGGTGATGAAGGCGATGAAGAGGAAGAACCTATTGTGGCTGATTTGGATCACCATCAAGAAAATGTCAATAGCGGAACCAATGATATTGGGAGCCTTGTCACTGATCTGGAGGACCTACAAGAGCCACCAGAAGAAGAGATTGTATTTGAGCCTGAAGAGCCTCAAGTAGCAAAAGTCACTCGATCTGGGCAAACGTTTGCGTTTCCCAAGTTGCAAAGAGACCAAGAGAATGGCCTTCGAGCAGGAGTGGCAGTTCTGCCAGTAAGAACAAGAATCAAGTTGCGACAAGACGCAAGCATCAAGAAAGAGAATTGAAACCGTTGAAGAACAAGTTAAAATCTGGTATTCGTACCAAAGAGGGAAGTCACAGTACTAAAGACAGTAAAGCTATCCTTGAAGCACAGCACAATCTATGTGTCCAACAGATTGGGAATGAGATAAAAGCTGATTATGAAGAGCACGACGCTATTCTGATCGCCCGTTGCATGATGCAGATAAAGGCCAAGTTTGATACTGATGAAGGTCTGAACTTCATTCAACAGTATTACATCAATCAAGGACTGAAGAAGTTTGGTGATGATGGAAAGGATGCTGTGGATAAGGAATTGAGACCAATGCTCCTGAGAGATTGTTTCACTCCTGAATTTGTTAAAGACATGACCGCTTCTGAGCAAAAGAAGGCTCAATCAGCGATGATGTTACTCACGGAGAAGCAATTCAAAAAGACGATTAAAGGTTGCCTAGTATACCGAGGCGATTGAACTTGTGAATGGTTATCGCGAGAGGACACTGCAAGTCCAACTTCGACGCAAGTATGCCGGACGCAAGTCTGTCGGACAATCTACATCCACACAAAAAGGGAATCACCCTATACAAGTGAGATATCAATAATGCAGTAGGGAATAATACAAGATGTCCCAAAGTACTGCATTCAACACAGAATTGTCATAGAGGTCGAATCAAGTTCTGTGAACAAGGGATTTTCCAAGGGAAAATCGTTGAACTTACTTTTGTGATTGAATCATCAATGCAAGCCAAATATTAATCAAATAGGAACAATTTCACTCAAAGTATACCTAGACACAGGAGAACTATTGTTGTAAACGTGTTGTACAGTCAATTACAAATTTAGATTGCAGAGAGTTTGTTCTGAGCGCTAAAGGCACACACGATAGAGCACATTTTGCTTTATTCTAACAGCATTTGCTTGCGTGTAACCAGTGGGTCGTAAGCTGTCTCAGGATCTTTGTCAGTGATATCCTCCATCACAAACAACCTGGAGCAATCCTGCTTGAGCTCCTCGTTTATCAACCATGCCTCCAACTTTGGAGCCTTAACCGGATTGGTCTTTGAGAAGGCCTTTGCCGGCCAAGAGAATGCCAGTGGGTCGCTCCCGTTCTCCAGAACGTCATGTTCCAGCATGTACAATTTATCAAAATGCTTCTCTTTCTTTTTGCCAACCGTTGTGTACCTAATCATTGGGCGATGCCAAAAATTAAAGCTGTTCACCTGTTCCTTGGGCCATCCCGTGTACCAGGCCGGGGCGCCTTCTTGTACACCCTTTTTGACAAGGCTGTTTAGATCTTGCATCATGGTTTGGGTAGCTCGCCTGGGTGGTGAGGTAGCAGTAGCCCTTTTTGCGCACGGTGAAGTCCGTAATGGTCATGATGATGGGTGTTACAGGTAGAAGAGCCGTGTGATTTCCTAATCTTAATAATTATCTATTCCTAGACTTCAAATTCACTCTGTCAAATACAGAGCAGTCTTTTCAAAAGGAAGCAGCTCATTCACCAACTTCTTTCACAGCCTCTTTGGTACGTAGCTTTCCACTGTCCTGCTACTGTACCTTCTTTGCATACATACTTGGGCGTTCCGATCAGTCCGTCCTTCGCTAGCCAACACCTGCAGTAAATGTTCAATGGCAGCAGTTTGAAGTTTTCGTTGCCGAACTTGGATACGGTACAAACAAAAATGAATATCCGACAACAAAGCAGGCGTTCAATCTATTATTTCTTGATTACAGGTGTCCTGCTGATCTGTTTAATGCCTACTTCGCCGAAATTGTATATGTTTTATGGCGTGGACAATTCTATAACGTGGAAAATCAACACAAGTATTCTGCTCGGACCTGACGAATATGGATTGCATGGTTGCCCCCCACACTGCGGATGCCCCGAAAACCCATCAGATTGCCCTCGGTGGTATTCACTCGACAGTGTCAAAGAAAGTGCTGTGGCCAGCGATCTTTATGTGTTGGATAATCAGCGAAAGAAGCTTGAACATGCACGTCGCAGAGCCAAAACCCTATGTGAAGTGAATGAAGGTGTGGTTGGGCTGACTGGAGGCTGGTGTCTAAAACCTCAGAATAATGGAAAATCTATCGAATTTCCAAACGGAGTGGCCTACGAGTTGGCCCAATTTCACACGAAACCAAGTACAAGAATTGTCAAAGAACTTGTGAATCTTTTCTTAGCAGAGAATGTGACAACAGTAAATGATTTCGGGGCTGGTATTGCACAATACAAAGCCGCAATAACAAGAGCCCTGCCTCTCATTCATTACGACGCATATGACGGAGCAGGGAATGGTGAAGAATACACAAAAGGAATGATGTCATTTGTCGATTTGACACTGGCCCTAGACTTGCCAGTTGCCGAATGGATGATCAGCTTGGAAGTGGGAGAGCATATTCCTAGCAAATATGAAGGAATGTTCATTCGCAATTTGCACCGACACAACAAAAAAGGCGTTGTCCTGAGTTGGGCTGTCTTGGGACAGGGTGGGCATTCACATGTCAATAATCATTCGAACGAATATGTCATCCAGCTTTTTGAGGGCTTGGGATACACTTATGATGACGGACTCACTAAGAAATTGAGATTGCCCACACAAAATCGTCAATGGTTCACTAACTCGGTTTTTGTCTTTCGTAGGACTGGTTTTGAAATGTAATCACCCAAAAAAAGTTTAAATGATCAAGAGGTAATATGTATTAATAGCTTATCTGCAACATCATCTGTGTTTTGACCCGCAGCCGAGGTGTGCTTAACTGCCTGAACTCTAGCGTAGACAGGTCTGGAACACCCGGCAAATGTTCAGACCGAGTATTTTTGGGACACTGATCGCAAAGTTTGACGTGCTCGTGCCCGGAGATGTAAAATTATATTTCTAGCTTCGAAAAATCTATATTATTTCCCTTTAACTATTAATGACATATATTATTATGTGATGATTTATCAAATAGGGACTTATGGACACAGATGACCGATTGGTCATTGTGACTTTTCCTGAGTTATAACTCAGATCACAACGGAATCCTGAGTTATAACTCACGGCGTTGAGTTATAACTCAAACGTGTGAGTACGTCTGACTTATAACTCAAACGTATGAGTCTGAGTTATAACTCAAACGTGTGAATCACACATATGATATGAATATTGATTTCTGACAATAGAACAAAGAGCAACGTGTTAAAACGCGTTTTCCCCCATCTCCCAGGGGGATGATGTTCTCCAATGGGGGAAGGGCAGCTTCAAGCGAGATGCAACACAGACTCCAAAGAAAACCACGAGTATAAGTAACGTGCTCGGCTTTGCCATGAAACTTTTAATCGTCGATTGAAGTGCTTTTTATTATTTTGGACGACAGGTTCAAATATTCGAGAGACAAACATCAAAAATGTGTCCTTGCAGTTGTTGAAACAGTCCAATTCCAAATGATTAAAGGTCACCCTCTCTTTGAAATAGGATAATTTACCACATATCTAATACAATTTTACTACTACTTGCGAGTCCTCAGACATCGGCGATTCTTCCTCCTGCTTCTTTGTTTCCTCCTCCTTTTCGGCCATTGCTACTTTCATACGTTGTTCATAGAGCAACAAGTTTTCTTCCTTTTTCTCTTTCTTTTCTTCCTT